CAAGGGAAGATTTGGTGGCTATCTTTATTATATAAGTGTGACAATGAAAAGAAGAGGCAAAGGCATGGTTAACAATAATGGGTAACATACTATCCTAACTGATAAAAGGACTTTTTATTTATTTATTATTATTTTTTTATTTAAACATATTTTATTGAAACATTAACCCCAAGRGCGTAACGCTCATCGAGGGGGTCTATGTCTTAATTATATTACAAATATATAGTTATAGTTATGTGGAYGAAAGAAAATATATACATATAGGAACAACAAATATAAAAGAACTAATGATGTCATCCTTGAAGTTCCTTTTCCTTACCATACATTTAGAATGCAGCTTGCTGTTGATGTTCAGATTCCAGAAGAGTTTGGAGGTGTTGATGGAGCAGCTGTTTATATTGGTTAGTTACATCTACTGYATGGTGTTTTGATTGATAAAAATATAGAATCAAATAAACTTGTGTGGACTACCCTAAGAGGAAGTAGATGTTCTGTACTACATTAGTGCAGTAAAGCTTAATAAAGGATGATGGTAGCTTTATAAACTTTTTACTGTAATTTCAGTTCCTGAATGCACTACATTTCTTTTTTTGACCAGATACAGAAGGAAGTTTCATAGTGGACAGAGTTGTTGATATTGCTTCAGCTGCTATCAAGCACCTGGAAAATGTTACAGAGTCAGCAGACCTGGATGAATCTGGTAAATACAATTAGATTAATTTGAATTGACAAAAGGAGTAATAAGGCTTTGCAGAAGCAGTTATTTTCTTAATTCCTGTTCTGAATTCCCCTTGCAAAACTAAAATATACCTCTTTACCTTGAGMGTAATGTTTTCCCATTTTACATCAGAACATGAGAACTTCTTCAAGACACATGAAAATGCATACCAGAAGAAAGAATCTTCTCAAGAGAATTACACATGGTCTAAAATTGGAAAACCATTATGCCCAGTGTAAAGAGGTCTATGSTACCTTAAGAAATCTAGAGCTTATGAGAGACAAGTTAAATATTGGGAAGAGTGGAGTAGAGGGAAAAGAAATATGGGAACGGATGTGARCATTTATTTTTCCCCTTTCTAAATCTTCCCTAATCCCTTCCCACCGATTGGGGTTTGAAAAAAAAAAGCACTACACAATTTGATAGGGTAACTATAGATCTATGCAGGGTAATTTTTAGCCAGGCCCTTTCTAGATTAAATTAGAATTTAGAAAATCGTTTTTGCGGGTCTTGTGTCAACCAATCAACATAGTCTGGAAAAGAGCTTGGTAATAACGACTAGCCCTTTTTTTCTGATTTGGTATCCTAGAAAGAAATCTACAAATTGAATCTCTCAAGGATTTCCAAGTAGAGAAAATCTTGTCACGCATTTACATTTTTCGATGTCATGAGTACATTCAGCTAGTTGCTCTTTCTCATCTTCTACCAGAATTCCTGAAAGAACATCCTAAGGTAAATTTCGTAACTTTTTTTTTAATTTTTCAATAATACGCCATTCTCTCGATAAGGACACGGGTCAATGGCACACTAAATTGTCGGTTTTCATTCACTTATTCAGATACTCATTTTAAATCTACAAAGAAATTTTCTATTTTTTTTTTTTTGATTAAAGCCTTGTTCTAAATAGCGACGCAAGCCGATGTAATCTTAAGCGCAAGCGCAAGCCAACGCAAGAAAAATAAAATCTTCCTTTTTTTGCGCTTGCGTCGCTTCTTYCCATAGTGAGAACCTGAAGTTGCCTCTGCTTGCTTCGCCAGTGAGAACCAKGCTTAACTGATCATATATTTCCCTGAAACAGGTGAAGTTGATCGTGGTAGACAGCATTGCATTTCACTTCCGTCATGACTTTGAAGACATGGGTCTAAGAACACGTCTCTTGAATGGACTTGCGCAGACCTTCATCAGATTGGCATGTGAAAACCAGTTAGCTGTAAGTGGCACTTTTTCGTGTTTTTGCCCCCCTCCCCCCACTCCCCAAAGGATTCCAAGCGCGACATATTTTCTCATTTGTAGTTTTTGTTTTTAAAGGTTGTTTTGATGAACCAGATGACAACTCGAGTACGTCAGAATCAAATCGGCCAATCACATCTCATACCAGCTTTAGGTAAGACTTTTAAAGGCATTGGTCACTTTGCATGCGCCAAATTATCTTTGGTCTGCAGTTGACAAACAATCAAACAAAACGACGACCAGATATAACATAGTAGCGGCAGCTATATCTGTAWCCCCGCCCATCTTAACAAGAACGAAACCATCTTAACACCAGGCCCGTTTCGAGTTCTTTCAGAAAAGTGGGGTGCGTTTGGAAAAACAAAACATCGGCTAAGATAACGATAGCTTTTATTGCATGTTTTTGTTAGCTATATGTTACAAAAATACGCAAAAACTCTMCACCTCCCCAGCCTACGGGCCTGCACACCAACGACTACGACTCCCAACGACCTCAGCATCAGTGAACAGTACTTCATTTACACTGCTATTTTTATGGTGTTTGAAAAAGAAGCATGATATTGAAATAGCTTCAAGTTCTTCAAATGCAACAATCTCACTAACATTTCATCAATGACACTACTATTTTTTCTTGTGTTTAAAAATGAAGCATAACGATGAAATGGCTCCCTTTTCTTCATGTTTCTTTATAACAGCAAAATTTAGTAAAAACATGCACGGGTGGGAACGGCACTAGATYCATCTCTGCAACTTCAAGAACAGCAATTAAATCACAGTAACAAAAGAACCAAAAAACCCAAACAGACAAACAAACCAACAAAACAAGGCAAAAAAAATAAATAAATAAAAAGCAAACGGCAAACAAACGAAATCAACAGAGGAAACCTTATTGGGTGGCGTAGTGGTTTACCGTTCACCTCTCACCACTGTGGTCCAACGCCAGGTTCGAACCCCGGCTCAGACTGGATCATATGTGAGTTGCGGTTTGTTTGATGTATTGTTCTCTCCCTTTTCTCCGGGTTCTCCGGTTTCCTCCCTCCGTAAAAAATCAACATGTGAGTTAAGTGTTGTATGTTGTAARTATAGAATGTAGTGCTAGTGCGTGTGGAGGGAACCTCACGGAAGAGCCCCGTAAGGGGAGTGGTGGTTATAAAGTATGTGTCATTCTTCTAGCATGCCACCAGTAGCTAGTAGTACACTAATCGGTGACAATATATTTACCAAGTCAGTTCTTTCTTCTGTTTTGTTACTAAAGGTGAAAGTTGGGGCCATGCTAGTACTATACGAATCGTGCTTTACTGGGAAAACAAGCAGAGGTATGATATCGCAGAAGGATTCTGTCCTTGTTTCCCCCCTTTTAATTCCTGCCCCATCCACTATGGAGGCACTCGAGTTTCTGTGACTTCCTACAAGGTCCTCAGCTCTTCAATATAAAAAATAAGAGCTATTTATGTTGTATTTTCTACTTAGACTCGCGACTTTGTATAAATCACCCACAAAGCAAGAAATGACTGTCCCCTTCCAAGTTACAGTAAGTGACAAAAAGCAAAAAGAATTATATATTTTAAATGTTAGATATGTTCACTTATTCGTAGATTTGGGTCTTTAGGACGGAATACAAATTCTGTATTTTCCATCTTCTTTCAACTATGCCCTATACCACTAATACTACAGTTCCGTTCAGTGACCATGACTAGTACTAATAGTTCCAAGTCGATGTTGGAGCAATCTCGTTCCCAGAGCCTGCGTTTCTTCTGACCTRAGGCGAAGAACGAGGAACGAGAACGTTCTTCGCCGCAGGCCAGAAGAAACGCAGGCTCTGGGTACGAGATTGATGTTCGAGTTGCCGCGAACTATAGYTAATCATGCGCGGCAGCTCTAGCCTCGGCTTGGAATTGTTATTCRTGGTAACTGAACTCAAACACCCATCTATACTTCCTCACCCTAGCCAAATCCGTTGAGAAAAATCGTTCGCGCACTATAATTTATAACCTTCCAATCCTTTCAAGTCTATCGATACCTTGAAACAATTAAACCTCTGGGCTGACTCAAACRGTAACTTACAGATCGAAACCCTGAAACCAGTAACTCACAGATCGAAAGCTCGAAACCACTTCTGGGCTGATCAAAACCAGGRCACGACTAACTCACAGATCGAAACCCTAATACAACCTCTGGGCTGATCAAAGCCAGGCCAACTTACCGATTGCATCCATTTAGCATCCATTCCCCAGTTGTTACTGATACAGAGTCCATGAATTGTTTCAATAGTCCAGTGGAATACGCGATTTGTGGGACCCCACAGAAGATACCAACAACAATAATGACGAGGCCAAATCAMCAGGAAAACCAGCTGAGTACAACGAAGACGAGAAGCCATTCATTAATACCACTCAACCCTCCGATGATATGGCGAATGAAAATGAGAACATTCTTGATGAATCACGAGGAAACACTCAGTCGAGAAAAAGAACTTTTGATGAAATAGATTTATGATTTTTCTATTTAGAAGTTCATAATTTCAAACATTGACGAAGACAAAAGAGATATATTTTGATAACTTAATTTCGAAATATTTGACTAACTCTAAATGAATTTAATGTAGGGTTGGTTCTGGCTTGTACTTGTAGAAGTCAGTTTTTAATGCTGTAAAGTTGGATTTTGTATAGTTGATTTATTTTGTAAAATATATCATGTGTTTTGTAAAATATCTACCCTTTTTTAATTTTTGCGAACCCCGAAACGACYAATCTCGTTTCCAGAGGCCTTTATAGTTACGGTATTAAATATATACAGCGCTCAAAAGTCACCGGTTTTATAAACTGCGTTGCCGGCAGACCGCAGTCCGCAGACCGCCGGCAACGCAGGCTATCGCGCGGTCTTGCTTTTTGGCTCGATTCGACTATCGGAAATAACGGAAATAGTTGCGTTTTAGATCCAGACGGAAGAGGAAATTTGGGCTAGTTAAAAACCTTCATTTCGGATACCATCAAAGTGCTCACTTGTACTTGTCAACATTTACTACTCTTGTTTTTACAAAGGTTGCTTTTAATACAGTTAGAGGGAGGTCCGTAGCTTTTCATTTGACAAAACGTTATTTACATTTACTGCGATTTTCCATATTCTGCGAACTCGTTTTACAAGCTGAACGCTGTAATTTGTTTTCTCGCTGCCGTCAATCAAAAYTAATTAGTCGGTACCTTTACCAGTAATAACGCGTTACAGTCTGTAATGAATGGAACACGTGTTGCAAGACAAAGTCCTGGAATGGAAACCCTGGGGCGAGATTATGTAACTAGAAGTATAGTCACCTGATTGAGTTTGAAGGCCATTCAAGGTTCGGCATCTGGTGAAGTAAAAACTGAAGGACTGGAATCTTAGCTAGCAAGCTTCATTCAGCCATATTTTAAACTTTMCACCACATAAAAGGTGAGTAACTTTACTTCAAAAATTATTTTTTTATCGCTGATTGGATGTATTTCATTATAGTAGTTGTTTACATGAATCTTTAAAAAAACGTGCATACTGCGTTCAAAGAGTTATAAAGCAGTTTATTGTGATAACTATATCCTACACAAGCAAATAAACCAACTTTATACGTGCTACTAGGTATTAATTTAAGTAGTAAGTTTATTTTGATCGTTACTGGATGCGATTGTCCTGAAACGTAAAAGTACAAAGTACAAAGTTCTCATTTCACAATCTCGAGTTCAGATTTTCGTGCTGTATAAAGTCACGGCTTCGAACGTTGCTTCTTATTTTAACCCCTTCACTCTTTTATTTTACAGCTGCATTTCTCCATCAATAATGGAAGAGAAATCAGAAAAACAAACAAGCTGTATTTACGGGGGAAAGAAGATTGCAGTTCTTTTGACTATTGGAGTGCTGCTAATATTGGTTGCCGTCACTTGTTATCCTCTGATCGATTCTTTGATTCAGAACAAGATCGATTCAACTCTGGCGTTGAAGCCTGGCTCAGATAGCTTCAAACAGTGGAGGGCACCAAAAGTTTCGATTTAYCTTCAGTTTTTTATTTTCCATGTTGTTAATTATGAAGAAGCATCGCTTGGTTTACCTCCTTATGTTGTGCAAAAAGGACCTTACTCGTACAAGGAGTACAGACGAAAGGACAACATTACTTGGCACGATGAGAACTCTACTGTGTCTTACAATGAGAGGCAGTGGTTTGTGTTCGACCCAGATACCTCTTGTGCAAAATGTGATCCTGTTAGAGATGTTATAGTAAACGTGAATATTCCCTTAATCGCGATTGCTAATCTAGTGAAGAACTTCCCAGATTTCTTASGCTGGAAAGAGCTGTTATCTTTGATATTGGGCAATTTCAATGAAACGCTTTTCGAAAATAGAACAGTACAGGAACTTTTGTGGGGATACGATGATCCTTTTCTTGCAGAATACGCTAAGTTGAGGAAAAAGCTCMATCTCACTAGTATTCTTCCAGATGTCGATCCTCTCATAGCTTTGCAAAAGAATGATACTTATTCAGGATTCACAAMAGTCCACACTGGAGTGAAAGATATAAACTTGATAACTAAATGGACGGAATGGAAGGGAAAACCAGATGTGGGTGTATGGAACACGACCTACGCCAACATGCTAAATGGCAGCGATGGTACTCAGTTTCCTCCGCAACAGTCAACTGATAGTACACTCTATGTTTTCGTAACTCAGCTTTGCCGTTCATTATACTTGACATATAATAAACAAATAGCAATTCACGGAATTGATACTTTGCAGTTCACGACTCCAAAAGAGCTTTACTTAAATGCCTCAATGAATCCAAAAAACAAGGCATTTTGTACAAAGGAGTGTTACCCAACTGGAATATTAGACATTGGTGTGTGTCAGGATGCACCCATAACAATCCCATTGTTTGTGTCTGCACCACATTTTTATCTTGGAGATAAGTCTCTCACAAATAATGTGAAAGGTCTCTCTCCGAATGAAAAAGACCATGGAACATTCCTGGACGTTGAGCCACACCTTGGTGTACCGCTTAAAAGCAGCAAGCGACTCCAGATCAATGCTCTCATTGAACCAGTCGACGACATTAAACAAACTCAGAACCTTCACAAGTTATTCCTTCCTGTCATGTTTATTAATGAGACAGCCACCATTGATAATAGTCAGGCGCAAATGATCAAAGACAAAGTGTTGATGCCATTCACAGTTGTTCATGGTGTGGAGATAGGACTGGTTGTTCTTGGGGGCGTGCTTTGTTTGGCAGGATTGATTTTATTGGTGCTTTTGATTGACAGAAATAGGAAACTCAAACAGGTGAAAAACATACTATCAAACCCTGATGAAAACTCACCTCTTGTAGTCAGCACTTAGTAACATCATCTAGATTATGATCTTTTAGTTTAATATTATTAAAAGATCATWTCTATATTTAAAAAATGTCAAAAAGGCTAAGCTGAGCAATTT